AAAAAAAAAAAAAAAAATAAGAGGGAGTGTGTCCTAGAAATAAAAGAAGGTATCACTATGTCAAGCTCGCATGGCCAAAAGACATGCCTCTGGCCTCACTTCCCCTCCTCCCCCTTTCCCTGGTTCCCTATCCCTGGGGCTGTTTGTTAAAAAAGAGTAATAAAAGGATTTTTTAAAAAAAAAAGACATGCCTCTGCAAAATCTGACAAGGCAGAGAGGTAGGGCTGGGGACAGTGGCTCATGCCTGTAATCCTAGCACCCTGGGAGGCACGAGGATTGATCGCTTGAGGTCAGGAGTTGTGAGGCCATCCTGAGCAAGAGTGAGATCCTGGCTCCACTAAAAATAGAAAAATTAGCCAGGCATTGTGGCGGGCACCTGTAGTCCCAGCTACTCAGGAGGCTGAGACAGGAGGATCAGGTGAACCCAGGAGTTGGAGGTTGCTGTGACCTAGGCTGACATCACTGTGCTCTACCCGGAAGAGAGACATCACCAATTCACTAATTGCAGGGGTGAGCCTGGCAGGTTCAGGATTCCTGGAGTTGGGGGGTGCAGCTCATCACTCAAAAGGTCAGTCAGGTGCATCCTGTCCTCCCTACTTTGATTAATCAAGCTAAGGACCAAATATTATAATCACATAAAAAACTAGCCTGGCATATAATGAGCAGACATTTACTGCCCATACCAGTGGTTTGGACGAGCCCAGATAGCCTATCTGGAGCCTGCTCAGGCTCAGCCCACCCCTTCACTACCCTGCAGCTGCTTCAGGAATGTAAGGACGAGCCCACAGGTCCCCTCACCTCTCAGATCCCTGTTGAAGTCGTGCATCCTCCGAATCTCCCCCTCCAGCTTGTTTCTCATGGCTTTCTCCAGGGCCTCTCTCTTGGAGGATGACTTCACCAGGTTCTCATATGCCTCCGAGACACGCTGGATTTCTGTCTCCACCTTAACGAACAGAAAGGAAAAAGAAAAGAAAGATGGTGGTGATGGGAAAGATGATCTGAAAACCTACAGGCAATCCTCAGAGTGATAGTTTCTCCCCGGGCTCGCAGATGACCAAGAGACAAGCATAACACAGTCAGAGGAGAAAATTTCAGGGAAGGATGTCCATGTTCGACCACAAGCTCGGTAATAAACTCGCTATGTCGTGAGACTTTCTCAGGTTAAAAATATAGATACTGTTTCTGCTTTCGGAAAAAGGGGTAAAATTGAATAAATATTATCAATATGGTTATACATGACTTTAATTTTAGAATAAAAATTTTCTCTAATTTTGAAATTATTATTATTATTATTTTGAGATAGAGCCTCGAGCTACTGCCCTGGGTAGAGTGCTGTGGCGTCACAGCTCACAGCAACCTCAAACTCCTGGGCTTAAGCGATTCTCTTGCCTCAGCCTCCCCAGTAGCTGAGACTACAGGCCTCTGCCACAATGCCCGGCTATTTTTCAGTTGTCGTTGTCATTGTTTGGCAGGCCCAGGCTGGATTTGAAGCCGTCAGCTCTGGTGTATGTGGCTGGTGCTTTAGCTGTTGAGCTACAGGCGCCGCCCATTTTGAAATTATTAATATGATGTATACATTATGTAGATAATTTTAGTCCACCGTATGCTAAGGGATTTCACTTGTGGTTTTCCATTTGTCCTCATATTTGCCTAGGCAAGGATACCTCTCTGCATTTTAGCGGAGGGAAAAGTTAAATTGCCTTTTCCAAGACCACAACAAAACATAAAAACCTTAAGCTCTGGCCTCCAGCAGTAACTCAGCTGCTATCTAACAAACACTTACCATGGGGCAAATATTTACATGTACTTTAAGCACTGTGGGGTGTATGAATGGGAACATTCTAGCTACCCTCAAGATGTTTCAATCTGCTCAAATAAAGATTACCTGCTTAGGAGGCGAGATATAGCTTTAAGTAAAGTAGGAGTAGTGCTATCAAGCACAGAGAAGGAAGAAGTTATTCCTGGTTGGGAGAAGGAGGGAGGAGAACAATTTCTGGGAGGAGGTGGCATTTAGAGTCAAATCCTGAAAGCTGGGTCAGATTTCAATGAGCAGAGGTGAGGGGAAGGGTATTCTATTCTGAGTAAGCAAATGCATTCCCAGAATGACCAGTAGTCTAATTTGGCTGGACACTGCGGGGTCCACAGAGGGAAGCTGGCGAGATGTGGCTGCTCAGATGGATTGGAGTCAGGTCAGAAAAGGGTTTTAAGGCCAAGCATTTGGACTTCATCCCGTAGTCAGTGGGAAACCCAGTAAAGCTTTTTGAACAAAAATTCACGATCGAAGTTGTATGACACATCAGCAAATCTCCCCAAATGAAAAAAAAAAAAAAAAAAAAAACAGAAAAACCCAAACTAACTCTAACAGAAAGGGCCTTGCTCTGAATCAGCCAGAATTAGGAAGAAACAAGAAATTAGACGCTTCAACCAGGATAGCGCCACTACACAGACCATAACCGCGGAGATATCTGCATGTAATTTGTATACAACAAATAGGCCCATGGCCGATTAATCAAGTTTCAAGTTAAATTTGATTCCTGCAACCGTTCTGCATTCCTTCCCAGTTTTCCAGGATGCCTTGACAAAGCTCAGGATACTTCATAAGGAGAAATCTCAGGACCCCTTGGGGAAAAGGCAGGATCACCCAAACCAGGGAGATTCAACCTACCCCCATCTCCAAACTTTTTACCAGCGATAGAACTGCCTGCAAACAAATGAGGCTTATACCACAGAAAAGAGCAGACTCAAAAGTGTTTTTCTCTCTTCCGCAGATGGCACCAAGATAGCAGCACAGAAGGTGAAAACTGGTGAATGGCATTTAGAGACAAGATCTGCCAGGCCTGTGCCTGATGAAGCTTTTGCATGAAATTCAAGCACTGGGTAGAGAAAATAAACATTTCCATCTGAAAGAGTAGGCTTGGTGCTGGACTGCTCTGGGCAGCGTTTACAGTGCAAGGCTGTCCAGTTCCCCCCCACAGAATGCCACACCTGGAAGGCAATCCCTCTCCTCAAGTTTTACAGCCTGCCATTTCAAAATCTTGTACTAATTCTTCCCATACCCCCTGCACAGATGCTGTACCCAGCAAAGGGAAAGTTACACATCTGTCAAGAGGGCCTAGCAAGAAAGGATGTCACGGAAGAGCCTGTCTCTTGGTTTCATCTGGGTAATGGTGGCAGCAGGAGGTAGGGAAGGTGGTGGTGGGTTTTCAGACTTACTCTGCTTATTCCTTGCACAAAAGCCTTGGGCCTTTTTATTTCCTCTAGTGCCCCCCGGATTTGCCTTATTCTCCCCCATTTTCCTTTTCTTTTCCTATTCTAGTCCCCCTCTCTTCCACCTCAGCACTGGGTCAGCCTCCACTTCTCCCAGCACGCAACCTTTTCCAATGACACGTATTTGAGGCATCTTTTCCTGCCTTGCGGATCAAACAACAGCAAAAATCCCATTCTTCTCCTCTTCCTTGTCACCTATCCCACCCCAGTGCCCCTAGAAATCACTTTGGATGCTGCAGCAAAGGAGGTCTATGGAAGATCTGGGCTTATCCTTCAGTGACTGAATCAAAGATAGGGCAAGGCCACCCAAAAGACATGGGGAAGGGGTGTCAACTTATAACCTAAGCAGCCAAACCAGGTTTCTAGTGTAAGGATATAATCAACTGATTACTATCAATGTGACAGAGGGAGTGATGTAGTTCAAATGTCAGGGAGAAAATACAAAATCTGGGTTAAACCAGGGAGAAGCAGTTTTCATTCAACCCCAATAAAACCCCATGGAGATTTGGGGAAACTAGGGGAGGAGGAGTCTTTCTGCTACATAAAAATACTTAGCTAATAATAAGCCCTGCTTTTCTCTGGGATCCAGATCGGGCCTTTACAAATTCTCAGGCCCCTAAAATTTCCACTCCTGGTGTCTTCTAAGGACAGAGTTACTGAACAATACCAGGCAACCTCCTCTCCCTCCCCCACCTTCACCCTCACCTCCTTGAACAGTTGGCACTGTAGGGAGATCAAACCACTTGAGCTTCACAATGACAAAAGCTGCAAGGAGGCTGCCAAAGGCATAACCCTATTCACCAACAGCCACTGGAAGCCAAGAGCTAAGGTTCCTAGCTTGGGGCTATCAAGAGCTCTAGTCCCAGCTGCAGGAGACAGGAGGGGGCCCAGGGGAAAAATGTGAACTGGGGACACACAACTCCTTTTTCTATTTCCTCAGCCTAGGGCTGTCACCTGTCACCCAGCTGTGGTGCTAAGCCCCTCCTGCCTACCCGCACACACACACCAGAGAAAAGAGAGCAGATGTTGAATTTGAGTTGCAGGAAAAGACCAAAGTAAAATGTGGAGGGGGGTGGAGGAGGGATAGTTGAAAAAGAGTCACTACCAGAACTCCCACTAGCAAAGTACTCTTAAGTCTTTTCCAGAACAAGGCAGGGCAGGCTCTAACTTGAGCTGGTGAAAATTTTCTAAGAAATATGGTTTGATATTTAAGATTTAAATTCATAGTTGGGAAAAAGTCATCAAGATGACAAGGCGATGAGGTCTAAAATGCTGGCAGTTCCTTCATCTACACAGGTATACTCGCATCCTTGACCTTATAAGGATATCTCCCTGCCTTTTGGAATTCTAAAATAATTCTAAAATAATAAGTTTTCTTTCGGGCTATGGGGTCTGGGAAAACTGTAGAATTTTTTCTCTCCTTGCATATATGTAAACATATATGTAAATGTTACTTTTTTTTTTTTTGCAGGTTTTGGCTGGGGCTGGGTTTGAACCCGTCACCTCCAGCCTATGGGGCGGACGCCCTACTCCTTTGAGTCACAGGCACCGCCCTACACGTTACTTCTTTTAGATAGACAGGCAGAAGGCTTTTTCCAGAGTTTGATCCTTATTCAACCTTCTGATGTAAGAATCCTGAAGACCTGCCCATGAAGTAACACAGGCACTCCCAAGTGGAGACTTTCAGATGGATATTAAACAAATCCCACATATAAGACTTCAAAGACACCCTCCTACCCTAAAACAGAAGCCTCACCTTTTGCAGTCTTGCCACCTTCTCATAGCATCCTTCCAACTCCTGCCGCAAGTTCCGGTTCTCATCTGAGAGGATCTCAACCATCTGCTGGGCTCTGGACACGATGGCAAAAGGGTCTGCTGGCATTGGCTGATAAGAAGCAGATTGCTGAGCCCGAGGCATAGCTGAATAGGCTTCTCCTGGTTGTTGCTGCTGTGGCTGCTGCTGCTGCTGCTGGCTTAGGCTAGGTTGGGAGAGACGGTAATGATCCCCCTGGTGAGTCTGAGTAGGAAGGAAGTGCTGCTGCGACCTAGGCAGGTGAGCTGAATGGTCTCCTGGGTTTGGAACCAAGGGGTGTTGAGCAGGAGACAATCTAGTGGATGGTGGAGATTGCAGCAAGGGCAAGGAACCCCCAGACGTCAGGGAAGAAGTGGGGCTATGAGGTTGAGAGCTTCTGGCTGACAACGGCAGTGAGATGTCCTGTGTTGGCCTGTAAAACACGAAGGGCAGACCTACAGGTTAAGCTGTCTTCTAAGACACTGGGGGAGACGGGCACAGGAAAGGGAGATGAGGAGGCTTCTGGTGCCTCCAGGACATCTGTCAAGAGGGCCCTTCCAGGAAACGGCATCATGGAAGGGCACATCTATCGGTTTCATCTGGGTAGTGGCGGCAGCAGGAGATAGAGAGACGGTGGTGGGTTTTCAGACTTACTCTGTCTGCCTTTTCCTCTGCAAAAGGAGGAGCAGACAGGGTTAGACCACGGGATCTCTGCAAAGACCTGTGTAGCTCTTTCCTGCCCTGACCTTCTGTGACTCTGCCTGACAGAGGTGTCATCCCGTGGGGGAGAGAACCAGATGGCCTCCACAATCACTTTATAAAAATCTGTATGATACATGTCTGCGCATTTCAAACAATTTATCCACCAAGTGACTTTCACCTCAATGTTTTAAACGAAATCTTTTCTAACATTACATAGGTGGTCCAGCACACATAGAGATTCCAATTTAGAAAATATGTTCCACTGGCCCAGAGAGAAAACAACGAGCAACCATCAAAACCGCCCCTCATCTTGCCGTCCGCAAGTCAAGGATAGGCAGATACTTATTACATTAGTGATATCACTTAATTATTGTTGATTCCAGTTATTAATGATTTAGTGATGCCCATTAGCAGGTACAATAGCAAGACCTGAAGGGGTTGCAGGCAACATTCTCATACTATGTTTGATGTACTGAATCATAAAACGTAAAGACCAAAGAGCCCTTCAAGAAATTATCCAGTTCAACTCCAGCACTGACCAAAGGGGAAATCGGAGGCCCAGAGAGCGAAAATGAGCTGACAAATTCTAGACTGAGTTAGTGATCGTGCCAAGATACAATTCTTCTTTCCCTATTCCCATTTTCTGGCTTTTTCCTCTGCTCTCATGCACTGATTTCTGTGCATTAGCGTCCAGATCTGCGGCCTATTGCACATGGAAAGTTCCACGAAGAACTTTAGTACACCGTGGCTCTCCCCTTTGTGTGCCCAATTACCAGGTACAAAACACGAGGTACTCTCAGTCATTGAGAGAAACGAGCAGAGTATGCGGATAGCCCACTTTGACCATCGCCACCAACAGGAAGCATATCTGTCAGAGTACATTGACCACAAACAGCCTGTTCACCCTCAAGCCCATGCCCAATTGACCTGATACGCGTCTCTGTCCTGTGGACACTTGTGCCACAGTTCATACTTCCTCAGTCCAGGGAAGACAGATGGCTAAGAAAGAGCACGGGATTTGGATCCCGACAGCGAGTCTGGAGACCTTTTTTCTACTGTTCCCTCGCTGTGTAACTTTGCTCAAGTTACTCAATCTGCCTGAGATAGTTTCATCCCTGAGGTTGCAAATGAATTGCACAAAATACTGGGGCCTTCTCATTTTTTTTTTTTTTTTTTTAGCTTTAGCTCAATAAGAATTACAAGAGAGTCTCTTATCTACCTCCCAGGGAGATAAGCTGACCTTGTTAGCTTGTTACTTATAAGATATCCATTTAATCTTTGTGGTAAATTGCATAAAATTTATGGTGGAACTGGGACAAATCACCTGGAGCAATTAACTTTTAACTGGCATTCCAGACACAAAAGCACATCCCTCCCACACACACTCCAGTTACCATTATTGTTCATTTATGGATCCCTATAAAAGATTTTCACCATAAGGACTTTTTACAGCTACAGACTCATTCCAAACACTTGTTCGTGGAGACCCAATAACTTAGAGGTTCACAAGAGCCCTCAGACTTGTTGAAACCCTGGATTCTGTCCCTCAGTCCCATCTTTGCTGTACCCACATTCTTCCAGTATCAAACATGTGTCATGATACATAATTGCCGAAGAGGGCGTGCAAACTACTTGGGTGCACCAGAAGAATGTGCATACTACTCATCATTACAACGGTAAAGTTGCTACCATCCATAATCTTTCTTTCCCAGAGTTCAAAGCACTCATCCAGTCAAAAGTCTGGGAGCTGTTTACAAACATGCTTAGTGAATAGTTCCTCTTTCCCATTCTATGGATCTTCAGATTCTTCATAGGCAAAAGACTAGGTGCTTTCTTTCCTTCTTTGAGTAAGAACTATTATAGTTTCTATGTATCCCTAGAGTTAAAATACCATGCCCTGGGATTTGTTGTGGCTTGTGCATCTCCGGGGCTTAAATTTCATACTCTCCAATATGGGTCTCAAAAGTTAAGGGAAAAAAAAATCACTAAATTAACCTTCGTTCTCATGCCCCAGATTTGGAAGCCAAAGACCTGGGAGGTGTTGTCTTAAAAGACTGAATGCCCAGTTCTGAACTGAGCTTCCTCCCCGCATCTCCCCTAGGCCCCATTAAGCAACCTAGACCTTTCTGTCAAAGAGATGCAACCATGGGCCTCCCTCCTTCCTGGAGGCTAAAAGGCCTCTCTGTGCCTTGGATAGCACATGTCATCCCAGGAGCCTTGGGAAGGAGGTGATCAGAAGGTCTCCAGAAGGAGGAGATCTCCATGGTCAGATAAGCCCAGGACAAAGATAAGCAGAGACAAGGCCGCTGCCCCGAGGTCCCCCAGGCTGGAAAAGGAAGCAGATCCGAGTACACTATTATGTTGGGAAAACCAGTTCAGTCCGTCACTGGCAGGTTTGCAAACAAGCAAAGACTTGGGCAGTCACAAAAAGGAGAGAAAGCCCTTCAGAGAAGTAACTCCATCTGCCGGCATCCGCCCACCACAAGAAAGCAGAATGGTATTACCAGTGGGGTGACGCTCCCCCTGAGAAGAAGGGATTAGAGTACAATAAAGGTAGAGGAGAGTTAGGAGGGATGTCAAAGGAAGCAAATATACACCCGAGATTAAATAATATTAACAGTAAGAGTAAGGAGAGTAATAATAAAGGTGGCAGCTGGGTGACCAGCACACTCTCCAGGTCCTTCCACCACATGGCAGTTTGAATCACTCCCCACTGACACATTAACCAGGAACAACAAGCTACCCTGCAGACAACAGAATCACATGATCCTGGAAGCCCCAGCCTGCCTCCCTGCCTCCTCCCTCCTTCATCCTGCTCCTTCCTAAGACTACCCGGGCCCCACTGGGGCTCTGCAGAAAAGGGGACACAGCACACGTGCAGGACAGAGGCCAGGGATGAAAATCAGAGTCCTCCCCAAAGCCAGAGGAATGAGGGGCTGCTCTGTCCCAGAGACAGCGTGTGAGGACAGCAGGGAAAGTGAAAGCCACTCCACCCAGCCGACCCAGCACCTTCCATTCTGCCACCTTCAGGACTGGGAGCCCCACCCTCCCAGCCACACACACATGAACTTATGTGCGTGCACACACACACACACACACATACACATACAGAGTCCACACTCCTGGGTCACAAGTGTGCCAGCCTGCACAGGCACTCTTACCAGAGCAGATGCCACCAATAGCCTGGAACTCCAAATTATCCTCACCACAGAAACTGTGTCTTTCCCAGGCTTTTCAGTGGTGAATCTGTGAATCCTGGAGCAGACTGCAAATTCCTGATGGTTTCTCTTGCACAACCAGCTCTGCTCTGAACTACAGAGTTAGGTCACCCTTAGATTCCACTAAACAAGGATTTCAAGAAACCTCAGATCTGGGCATGATTTCAACAAATGAAAGGAGGTGGCTGCTTTATAAACAGAAATGATTTAATTTTTAAAAGCAGTTGATAAATGTATAAACCCAGGCTGCAGAAGAAGCTGAGGACTTAAGCCAAAGATTCAGAAATCATAAAATTCTTCAGATGGCTTGGCCTTATTTCCCATCTGGAGTTCTGGGCATTCAAGATATTTATTTTTTAAGTGGGGAGGAGGGCATAGGAACGATGAAGTAATAAAAGGATTATTTATAACATTTTTGTGCATTTTAATAGCAAATCTCCAGCATTGCACTGCACCTCTCAAGTCAAACAAAGTTTTTTTTTTTTCTTAATTAAATCATAGCCGTGTACATTAATCCAATCATGGGGTACAATGTGCTGGTTTTATATACAATTTGAAATACTTTCATCAAACTGATTCACATAGTCTTCAGCACATTTTCTTAGTCTTTTTTTTTTTAAAACAGTCATTTGTTCAAAGAGCTTGCTTCGCATCCTGGTTTGTACTGGGTGGATTAAGAACTAAGGATTTAGTCCTCTAATTGGTTGGTGCTAAGCAAGAGTTACTCAGAAAGGTACTCAGAAACTGGATAGCTAGTGGTATAAAGGAAATAAAGAAGAGATGTGTCTCCACCTAAAAGCCACACACTTCTGGAAAGCAGCTCAGCTCCCTCCTCCTGCCAGTCATTTGTTAAGACGTGCCACTTGCTCACACCCAGGGCCCTGCACAAATTTTACAGTGAGAATTTGACTGATGCAAGCCCAAACCGAATTCGCAAGGCGCATCCTCCCACTAGGACCATTTTAGGTGTGATTATATTCATCAAGCATTATCAAGCACTCTGCTCTTCTGTCATAAAGAGGAAAAAAATAAACCGATTGAGCAAAACGGTGTGTTTAAATATAGCTCTAAGTCTCTGGTGGTTTAATCAGTATGGAGAAAAAAAATACCCTCCTTGGGCTCCTTATTATTTATTTAGGCAGATCAAAGGGCTTTTCCATCTAGCTTCAAACACTGTGGGAGTCATTTCAGATCACAAACAATACTGGTGAATGAGTTCTGAAAATAGCTTTCCCGGGAGGGCGGGCCATGTGCAGAGCCCGGGGTCTGGCTTCTGCTCCACACCCCAGCCAGCACACTCCCCTCCCACAAGGCAATAGACGTCAGCCCATCCACAGACTCTTCCACACTGATGGAAAAGGCAAAAACAACACCCCCCCCCAGCTTCATTGACATTTTGCTGGCTTGAATGGGTTTCCACTGAGTGAAGCAGTCTTTAAAAAAACCTATCCTTCCCTGAGTCTTCATTTCTCCGGGCAGATGGGAATCAGGTTCTGGTTCTCCTTTAAACCTGAATGGCTCTGTCAGTTACCCCATTTCCTGTTCCAAGACCCTTATCTAAAGGTAGGCTCCTGCCCTTTGAAAGCTGAACAGAGGAAGTGAAAAAGAGCTAACCTCTTCAACTTGGGTTAAGAGGAGGAAAAAATTCCTAAAGTGGCAAAGTTAGGGGTGGAGTCCAAAGCGAGCTGCCTCTGGCTACAGTATAGGGCCTGAAGGGTGAAAAATGAAATGCCAGGAAATATCAGGTGACTTCTCTTATCTTCACCCTACTCCGCCCCAAGTGCTTTGTCTCCTGAGTCACCCAGTGAACCTCAAGTCAAGGGGCTCTTTTCCAAGTAAGTAAGGAGGAGTCAGAAGACAAAGAGTTAGACGTCAAGGAGGTCAGAGACCTAGTCTGTGGGCCTCATAGGAAGAAGGCCAGCTTAGATCCATCTATCATTACCCCGGTCACAGGGCAAGAATACCACACATAACGGCCACCTTTGTTTCCCATAGATAAATGGGCATAGCCCTATGCCTCACCTGCTGAAATACTACTGATCAGAGGCTTGGCCCAAACATTGACGACAGGAAAAATGAACAGAATCACGGAATCCTAAGGTCTTGGGAATACATCTGTGACGGAGACCATGGGCCTCTGAATAATTAAGAGGTATATTTAGGAAGAACTAAACGCCTCAGAAGTTATGAAAATGGTTTTCCTTCCACATTTTAGCATCTGACCAAAACTTCTCCCATGACATGATGGAAATTTAACTTACACGTTTAAAAACATGCCAGGCAAGCAAGAAACTCTCCACCAAAGAAAGACAAAACAGTCCAGACTTCACGAACCGCAAGAAGTACCAGGTAGTGGCATCCTTAACCCACGCACATACATCGTTCCTCCCACCCTAACAGCTGGGTGTTTGTGTAGTGTCCCAATGGTAATGCTAGGGAGAAATGACAACAGGAAACGTACAGGTTTGTTTGCAAAAGTAAGTGATGAGAGCTTTATGGAAAAGAATTCATGGAAGCGATAGGCTGTTCCAGACTGATGAAAGTCTAGGATAATTTGCTTCTGCTTCTCAAGGAAAGGCTTACCAACTCACAAGAAGAGAAACACGGACCCTTCCCTCCTTCAACACCCCAAGAGACAGTACAGTGAATAGCTGCTAAAATCCAGACTTGTGCTCCTGTTCATCTACCAGGCACTTGAGACCACATGACTAAACTGAAACAAGGCTGATTATGGCGGAAGAGGCTGGAAATTCAGGTTGGTGGGCAATTTCCTAAGCCAGGGGCCAGTCATGCATGGCAGGAGTTTGTTATATACCAAACACCTGCCCATTCCTTCCCTTAAGATTCCCAACACACAGCAGAAGCAGCTGGTTGGGGATGAGGTCAGGAAATGACAGACAGGGAACTCTCTTACCTGGCTGCTCCATACTCAGGGGGGTGCTGATACCTCATCAGTTGCCCCTCTGTCCTCCCTGGCTGGTTCAGGCGATGCTCACTATAGAAGTGCCCTGGCTCTTGGGGCTTGCACACTACAGACTGGGGTGGCATGCCCTTGAAGGGATACTCTGGTGGGGGGCCACGGTGATCCATGCCCTTCAGGCTATGCTGGTTAGGAGGTGGCCCTTGGGCCTTGTAGAACTCACTGGAACTTGTGGGGTTCTTGTAGATATCATTGGGTTGTGGAGGGGAGAGGGGAGCGCTGGTAACAGGTGGATGGGCCTTAACTCCACTGGTGGCCAGTGACATCTGCATTAATCGTTCACTCAAGGAACGGACATGCCCTTGCTTAAGGTCTCTGAGTCCTTCATCCTGGTGCATCTTCCCAGGATTGAGTCGCTGGACCGATGGGCGTCCTTCGGTCCTCATCTTCTGGTTGGTGACTCCAGTGACATAGAAGGCAGCTCCAACACTGGCATGCTGTTGGCCACGAAAGTACTGGGACTGGACCTTGGCTTCCTCATAGGTTGGGAGTTCTTCATTATTCTGCATTCGCGGGGACAGCTGCTTCTCCATAATGATATTTTCTGACTGGATCTCCTGGCCCTGTGGTTCTTGTCGAGCAGCGTGAGCCACAAGCTGTTGGTGGTGGTCTTGAGGACTCAACACATCATTCTGAGGGCCTGGGTTCCCACTGCCACTGGGAAAGGGAGGGCCATTCCCTGTGGCTTGCTGGTGAATGGCAAGCAGGTTGCGATTCTCACTAGGATTGCCATAGCGAAGCTGCTCTTGTAGCAGACGCTGCAAAACTGTGGTTCCTCCACTTGGCTGGTCTTCAGAATTTCTCATCTCTATTGCTGGTGGTGCCTTGTGAAGAGAGAGAGAAATTGGGCACCTGGGCTGCCCTTGACCTGGGAAGGGGAAACAGGAAGCTTAACACCCAGTTGATGGATAAATCAGTCCTCTAAAGGGGAAGAAAATGGGTTGGGGGTGAGGATTCCATTGCAGAAACAAATCTAAAATTAATGGATTAATTGTTGGGGATTCCTGGCTCTACAATGATAGGATGAGGAATTAGAGGCATCAAAGCTCCATGTTTCCTCTTTCACTTTCAGCGTGAGTTAAATTTTTAATCTGGGCTTAACTTCTAAGAGGACTGGAGAAACCTGGAACAGTCAAGTCGGGTGAAAGGAGTAGCAAGTCTCCAGGGTCCTTATTCACAGGGTTCATCTCTTTGTCTACCCTATTTAAATTAAATATCCAACTCCTACGGCTGTGAAGGTGGGAGTATAACGGTGGAAAAAGTTACCCCACCGATAGGATTTAGAAAGTGGCTTAGGAGGTGAAGGGAGCCCAAAATGCTAAAAAAAAAACTAAAATAAATAAAAGGTGACAAGAGCTTGGCTTGCCCCCAATAGAAACAATCCCTGCCTTGATGCAAACCCTTTCCTTTGACCTCTTAAGACTCGCAAACATACCTTTTTGAAGATTCTTTTCATATAGTCCATTTTGGATTTTCCTTGGCTCAATATGAGGACTTGGGATTATTATTACTGACAAACTTTCTCTCTCAGCCATTGGGAAGTAGTCATTGATATTTGTTGTTGTTGTTGTTGTTGCTGGGTGGGAGAGGCTTCGGGGGAAGCCTGTTTCGTTTGAGGTATACCTCTGATAACATTTAGCAATTGAAAAATATAAAGGTCATCCTTCTGGAAAGGGTATACGATGACCATATCCCCCTCCACCACTAATTCTTCTAAAAAAGTAATATTGGTTGAGTGAAACATGTAATAGTAGTAAGGCAACCTGATAATCAAATTCTTTTTTTTTTTTTTTAGTAATATGGTTGGTTTGTTATTTATCAACTATTTATTATGTAATTGTTACCAAATGCAAAGCACTATGAGAGGAACGACAGGGACAAAATTTGAATAAAGTGACAATCTCTCACTTCAAAGGAGCTTAAAACATGAAACAAAGAAAGATAGCTTTTTTTTTTTTGAGTTTTGGCCAGGGCCGGGCTTGAACTGGCCACCCCTGGTGTAAGGGGCCGGCGCCCTACTCTTTGAGCCATGGCACCACCCGGGCTTTTTAAAGAAAAATGAATGAAATTGATGGTTGCAAGAAATTCTGATCATGGGTTGTATATGGAAATGCTAGTTATAACCTTTTCAAATTATGATTTGATTTTTTTTTTTTTTGGAAAGAGAGTCTCATTCTGTCACCCTAGGTAGGGTGCTGTAGCATCATAGCTCACCACAACCTCAAACTCTTGAGCTCAAGAGTTCTTCTTGCCTTAGGCTCCTAAGTAGCAGCGACTGTGGCCCCCGCCACAATGTCCAGCTGATAATCAAATTCTAATCATACTATTGGTTTACAGGGTAACCCAAACAATTGATTATGTTTTTCTTGACTTCCATTTTCCCCACTGAAAAAATGTGTGGTTAAGTGCCCTCTTTCTCTCTCTCCTTCTCTTTCTCTCTCTCTTTCTCCCTCTCTCTCAGCACTATATAGGGCACAAAACTCAAAAATTCTTTGGACAGCCTCTGCCTGTTGTGGTAAACACTGAAATTAATAGTATTGTTCAATGAATGAAACATCCCCCCTAAGGAGTCTACGTAATTGGTGGAGAATGGACATGATGCCACACAAAAAGTCACAATAAAAAGCAACTTGACCAGCCTCAGGTTTCTAAATAAGAGCTCTGGAACTCCGGTTGCCAGGCCCTTATTTGTCCATGATAGTAAGTGCCTTCCAATTTCTCTGGAAACATGAACCTCCTTCCTTTAATCATGCAAGGAGTAACCCAAATATGCATATAGTGGATGGAGAAAGGTCATCTTCTTTCTTATTTCCTGATGGTCACTCCTATCTGGTTTCCAATTGTTCTATTGAGCAGTTTGACTCCACAGTTGACCTTCCAAAGGCTCCTTTAAAATCCCATTCATCATATTCTTTGGGAAGTGCACACCAATGGCTCAGCAACCCAGTCCCCTTTGCATCCCTCCCAGGCTCCTGTAGGACTCTTGTATTTGAACTGTCAAATTGGGATTTCCTGATAAGGGTGACAAGCATAACATACAAATTTGTTTTGGTGCCTGAAACTAAGGAGAGGACTACTTTTCCTCTCTCAAAAAAATGGAAACAGGAACACGTACAGTGTTGCAGCAAAATCACTTCCAAATCCCCTCTGCAAGCCAGGGAAAGGCAGACACTGAGCTGCCTTAGACCCTGGAAGATCATACCACCCCCGCCCAAGCCACGCCCGCCCCACCCAGCACACACACAGGCACACATGGGCATAGGCACACACACATACCCCACGGTCCATACCTATTTCTGCTTTCTTTTAGGCTTAAAGCCTTAATCAGGATAGGGAATTCTTGCTTATGAGCAGCTCCAGAAACCGCACCGGCAGATTCCCTCTCCCCTAACACTCAGGTTGAGGGTAAGCGCCGCCAAGAGTTCAACCACTGGTCACCCTGAAATGTTCAGGAGGGAGGGAGAAATAAAAACGTTGTTTCTATTTTGCCACCAATGACCAGCAGTCAACCAAACCAGTCCTTCCAAAGGAATGACTTGGCCTCCCATGATGGGTCAACCATTTATGACCCATTAGGGCAGAAAATGAGTGGCAACATTTATCTCCACTTGGGCAGAAAGGAAATCTCACTGTCCAGCAAGGCCATGCCAGTCTCTAGGAGATGAAAATGTTCAGGTTTAAGGCTGGGTACAGTGGTTCCCACCTGGCACTCTGGGATGTTAAGGCAGGCAAACTGCTTGAGCTCAGGAGTTCAAGACTAGCCCGAGCAAGAATGAGATTCCCATCTCTACTAAAAATAGAAAAACTAGTCAGGCATCAATGGCGAGCACCTTAGTCCCAGCTACTCAGGAGGCTGAGGCAAGAGGATCACTGGAGCCCAGGAGTTTTATGAGGTTGCTGTGAGCTATGAGGCCACGACAATCTACACAGGGCAACAGAGTGAGACTCTGACTCAAAAAATTAAAAGAAAGAACGAAAGAAAATGTTCAAGCCTGAGACTGGAAAGGCTCTGTTCTGGCCTCACAGCCCTAGAAAGCTACTGCTCTCATCACCAGGTAGAATGGTGGATGGTGAACCGCTGTCACTGTTAGGGTGCAGCTTTTGAACTGCTATCAGTAGCAGGGCAGATTAATGAGGCTTAGTGCCCCACATCTCAGAAGGGAAGGCAGTCATCAGGAGTTAGAGTTTGGTCAGAGAAAAAGAACACTTGGGGAGGCTTCCAATGTGACTTCCTCAGCCTCAGATGAGCAGAAGGAAAAACAAAACAAAACCAGACTTCTTTTCAACCATGTCATTAAGTATTTATTGCATGTCAAGTATTGGAGACATTTGCCAGCCTCATGGTAGACACAATGAGCGCTACAATGACACCCAAAATGTAGTTCCTGCCCTCACAGAGCTTGCGCCCTGATTATCTGATCAATAACCCATCCATTGCTGCCGGAGTAGGAAAAGTGACTACCCTTCTCAAGAAAAAGCAGCGATCCCTCACCGAGCAGAGCCCTCCACTTGTTTTGCCTGCACATCCAGTGCCCCAGTGTCTCAGCCAAAGGAACCTACCAGACTCACCATAGAGACTATTAGACCATAGTGCCTAATAGATAAGGATTTGAGATAGTCCTCGTTTATAATTTCTGTTTTCGACCCTCTGAAAAGCCCTGCTAGCTTCAACCAAAACGGTTCTATCTAAAACGCAAACGTTTCCAGTTAGGTGAGATCCATGTGAACCACATTCCTACCTTTTGTCCCGGTCTATTCATAACTCTCATCATTTAAAAGAAAGACTTTGATCCACACACTCATTTGAGGAGCAAGGCAATGTGAAGGAAACACACAAGCATCTCTGCATTTTGGGAGCATGTCCAAGACATTCAAGTTTT